GCGCTCGCCCTCGCTCTTCGCCCAACGCCAAGCCCGAGCCGCCAATGCGGTCGCGCTCGGTGTCGCCTCCTCCATCGCCCCCGCTCTTCGCCCAACGCCGAGCCGCCGACGCGGTTTCGCTCGGCGCTGCTTCCACTCCCCGCACCGAGCGTTGGCCTTCCACTCCCCGCACCGAGCGTTGGCCTAGCGCCGAGCCTCCCTGTCTCGCCCCCTCTTCGACCAGCCCCAAGCGGGAGCCGCCAACGCGGTCGTGCCCTGCCGTGCCTCCTCTGGCCCCCGTTTGCCCAACGCCGAGCGCGAGCCGCGAACGTGATCGGTTGGTCGCACGTGCTTGGCGTCCTTGAGATCTCCGGCACACCCACCTTGCCTCGGTCGCACCGAACTGTCCTGCCCCAAGTAGTTCGTAGGTTGTTAGAGGTGCTTTCTGGAGTTCATAGTAGTAGTGAATTGTATATGTAGTCTTTATGAACTATGCTTGTTCCTCATTGAACTGTGGTGATGGTACTAGTGAAGAGGAATGGTCATCAGCAGCAAGCCCTCATACCTGCTGCTTTTATGCTATATTTGACCCATTCTGCTCCAATTGGGCGCTATATGGTCAAATTTGAACATATCTACTGGACTAGGACACTAACAAATCTGAACAAATTTGAACAAATTTGAACAGATTTGAATATATACCATTAAAGGCAGTCATATCTTCAGTAAATCCCTGGGGGGGACCTTCCATATTTGATTCAATATTGCAGGATCTAGGATAATATTTCATAAGATGGGATGATCTCCTCAAAGTGGATGCTATCATATCAAATGAAAACAATTGCTTGTGTATCTTCATCATGTTTACTGCAGATAAGGCTGGGGGTGGTTTTCCTGATGAAGGAAAATCCATGCATGGACCGTAGGGGCTTGTGGCGTTGGCTAGGTGTGACCAACATCAGCAGCCATATAATCGTTCATCGCCGTTGTGGGCGGCGCGGGTTAAGAATATGACAACTGCAGGAATGGGGCACGCTGCGCTTCGTGACACAATAGTTCACCCGATAAGACAGCATGTGCAGAAGAAGCGAAGAGAAGCAACGTATTAAATCACCGCCGAGTAGAACAAGAGCACGAAGAATGCAGAGCGACAGCAGCGGTGATTCAGCCATTGGATGAGAGCCGTAAAAGAGATGCAAAAGAGGATACACTCAGATCGAAGGGTTTTTGAACACATACATGTATGTATTTCGGATTGCGTGACATGCTACGATCGCGTGAGTGTATTTGCTGTCGCCGTCGAGTCTCGAGCGCTCTTCGATGTGTTCGGTTGCCTGGAGTCTGGAGATACGGCTGCGCGCACCCTTGCGCCTTGAGAAGCGTGCGTCGTGGGTCGTGTCCGGGCGGCGTGTGAATCCGCCAATGAGGGGCATACTACCATTTTGGGACAGCTCTACAGAAGACAGGGAAGGTTTGTCGGGTGACTCGGGTCATTCTTGTCGGTCCTAGCATTGGGGCCGCAAACAGAACGCACGAAAGGATACCGTGGGGTTATTGATTCCTTGGGAGCTCGTATGCATGAGCATCTGAGAATGTTGCGCTATAGTCGGCCGAATGCATATCCTGTCGCTGTCCAACTATGCGATTTACAGGGGTTGACATCTCGTTCGGGCGTCTGACGAGAATGGGCGTGCGATTATTTCCGATGGCCCTGGAGATGCCAGGGATATCGAGGTTTATCAGGTCATTCAGAAGAGAACGGATACATACACAGACGTTCGTCACGTAGCTAATCCATCACGTAGCTAATTGGGACCGTTCGGCGAATATCCTATTGCACGAGCCATGCGTTTCCCATGACGATGGTGCATTTGCTGTCGTTATCCGGGCACGCACGGCGCGCGCTTCTGGAGGTAGGCGTTTCATTCGAGCGGTGTGTTCTCTCCGACCGGGATGGGCGTGCGATTGTTTCCGATGGCCTTGGAGATGCCGGGGATATCAAGGTTCATCAGATCGTTCTGAAGAGAACGGATACATACACAGACGCTCGTCACGTAGCTAATTGGGACGATTCGGGACCGTTCGGTGAATATCCTATTTCGGTCGGCACTGCGTCTCCAACCACTCCCACAGCCGCCGCCCAACCTCCGGGTCCAGCGCCTCCTTGCGCGCCGCGCCCACCCTGGCCCACGGGATGAGGAACTGTACGCCCGTCAGCCCGGTCCGGACAGGCTCCGGCCAAATCATCTTACCTTGCCGTTGAAGTCCGCCGCTTCGGGGGAAGTCCCCGCCCAAAGCTGGGTCAGCGCGCCGTACGAGGCCGGGTACAGGAGCATGCTCTGGGCAGGCGTGCCGGTGCCGCATAGGATCAGTAACGGAGCGCGGCGACATCCCATGGGCGAGGCTCACGATGATGAACTTGCGGGGACCGCTCAGATGACGCTGGAGGTCTGTCCGCAGGTTACCTGACGAGTGCGCACGGGTCAGGATCGGACGAAAGTGCGCATCGGGATTGCGACGACGTGCCTGGATTGACCGAGGTGGAGACGATGCCCCTGTCCCCGTACCGGCGAGCGATCTCCTTCGCGACGACGACGTTCGCCTGAGACGCGTTCGGGTCAGCGACGCGAACGACGGCGACGAAGATCGACCCTCCACTTACGTGCTTGCTCTGCGAGTACAGGTCGTACGTCGACATGCGCTTCCGGGCGGGGCCGTCCACGAACGAATCCCAGTTGAGGGTATAGAGGTAGTTTGCGAACGAGGAAGTGGTGACGACGCGGGCCTTGCGATCGGGAGAGGACTCGGCTCCGGCGAGCAGGGCGGGCATGAGGAGCTCGGTGAGGAGGAAATGGCCTGGCGAGACGTAAGCCGTTGGAGGAGACCGAGGTCGACGTGTCGAACTTGCCTACAACGTTGGTGCCTAATTCCACGCAGCGTCGTCTCTCAGCAACGGTTCCACGAAAAGGAAACGGTCGAGGCCGCACCGAATTGCAGGTCAAATCCGTCGACGGTGACAGCCTCGATGGGTGGATACATGACCGCGCTGAGCATTGTAAAGCGAGATCAGCAAGCGGACGCGTTACCGACGTGCATACGCGACGCACGCGTTCAGAAAGAGGGCGTGTAACGCCGACTCCTGCCTGCGGAAAAAAATCCTCATCGTCAGCACCGATCGCCTGTTCCGGACGCGCGAATGCCTACTTTAGGAAAGCTTCGGCGGAGCGACGGACGCTGGCGAGGTTCGCAAGGTCGAGTTCGAGGAAGATCGCGTCTTTCCCTGTCTCCGCTCTGAGATCCGCGATCGCCTGTTGGGCCTTGCTCGCATCTCTTGCGGCGAGATAGACTTTGGCGTTACGAGCGAGGAGAGCCTGGGAACTGCAGCGTGAGCGACGAGTGACTGGACCGGGAACGTCGGTCGGCACCGACCTTGACCGTCTCCTTGCCAAGTCCAGTGTTACCGCCTGAAGATGAGATCCAGTGCGCGTCGACTTGATGATAACGCATGACACTCACCGGTCACCAGCATGACCTTGTTGGAGAGGTCGGGGATGTCGTTCACCGTCCAGCGCGGCTTCGGAGGGAAGAACTGCGTTGCCGCCGCCAAAGAGTTGCCCATGGCGAACGCGAGGATGGTGAGATCGACATGACGAGCGCAGGCATTTATACGGCACCGGCACGCGAGCTCTTCCAGGCCGCGGGGAACAGACCAGAAGATGACGGACCGAGCAGAGCACGACGAAGCATTGGACCCTTGGAGGACCCCCCTGCGGGCAGGCGCTCGGCGGAGCTCGAAATGTGGCGCCTTTTACTTACTCATGAAGAACTTCCCCGGTTATGTGAAATGTAAGTGTAACGATCGGATGAAAACCGGAACAGGCTGGACTCGCACCAACCTAGCCACTCGACTAGAGTGTCCCGATTTGACCTTCGCGTTCCATTATTCTTATCCTCTACTTCAACCGCAACCTCAAGCTCAGGGGGGACCAGGCCCATCTTGGTCATCGTGGTATCTCGGTATCCAGTTCTAACCCTAACCCTTACAGGTAGGCAGTGCCATCACTCATTCCAGCCGTCGTCTTCTCCTCTGTGCCATGCAGTTAGTGTTGCCGCAAGTCAAGCTGAGTCGAGCCGAGTTGACAAAATTGCAATAACTTGCTTATCAAGTTACGACAAGCCAATTTGTGAGTTCGGCTTGCGAGTTGGCGGACAGTTTCCCACCCTTCGACCGGACCTAGCGGCGACATTGAGCTGTGGCAGGTCAATGTTTGGCACCTTGACAATCAAGCCGTTCAGCCAAGGCCACGTTTTCATCGTGTGAACCGATTCTCTGCATGGACCAATCGGTAGTGTCGCTGAACGTGGGATAACAGCAGTGCCAACTCGCAAGCTCACGCAAGTCCAACTCGAGGCCCACAAGCCAAGTTGAGTTGTCGTTCTTGCAAGTTGAGTTGAGTTGGAATTGACTTCAACTCAACTTGGCGGCAACACTACATGCAATTGAGTGCCTGCATCTGGACTGTGCGGCATTCGTACCACGCCAGGACAGCAATGCAACGCGCCCGACGCGCACGGAGTTCGCAGCGGGTGAACGCCGATTATCTCGCCTGATCTCGCCGTCGTCGTCAGGATCGTTGACGCCGTCAGACTCGGCTTTGTCGACATCTTCGGCTTACCGCACGAGTCTGCCCCCGGTTTCGTCTCGCATTGGCTTTGCTCGTCATGGAATACCCTGATCTCGCGTGGTCTCTCGTTCTAGTCGCACTCGGCCTCGTAGTCCTTGGGCCCGTTCGCCACCAGGTCGAACGCGTGAGGAGCCTCAAGGACTTGCCCCAGCCCCCCGTGCCCAGCTTCCTCGTCGGCCACGTCCTCGACGTGCGCAAGGCCCGCGTTGGGACCCGGTACAACGTCTGGGCCCAGACATATGGACCCACGTACAAGCTCCGCGGGCCCTTCCTGGTATGCCCTGCTGCATGCGGTCGCATCGATCAGCGTCTGAAGCTTCCTACTACTCCCTCTCCAGGAACCTCTCCTCGTGCTCGGAGACCCGAAGGGAGCGTCTTACGTCCTGACCAAGAACGCAGCCAACTTTCCTAGACCGGAGCTCGGTCGCATCGCTCTCCAAGTATGGGTCAGTATCGTCGCGTACTCTCAGGTCTCCGCTCAGGTGTTGACCGGAACGCAGTTTGGGAAAGGCTTGTTCTGCGCCGAAGGCATGTCGTCTACAGACGTCTAGCGTAGGGCGCCTGCGTTGCGTGGAGTCGCGCTGATCCTCAACAAGGTGACGAGCATAAGAGGCAGAGGAAGATGCTCAACCGGCCTTCTCGTCAGCACGGTGTTTTGGCTCTCCTTGCTGTCCGTCTAACGCGTCGACTTGGTAGGGCTCAATCTATCGAAGACGTCTCGCACGTCTTTTTCGACTTGGCCCACCGCGTACGGTTGCGGGATCTAAGTTCCTCTACAGATCGCCTTACGCTTTTTTTGAACAGCTCGTCGCTCGGTGGGAGGCTCGTCTCGATGGAAAAGAATCGGCCGTTTTCGACGTCGCCGCCACCGTCCACGTCCTCACGTCCGTCTCGCCGTCTCTGCGCCGCGCCGCGCTCCGCTGACTCGTCGTCTCCCCGCAGAATGGACGCCATCAGCATGACCATGTTCATGCACGACTGCAGCGCCTCGGGAAGCGAGATACGCGACCTGCTCCACAAGATCACCAACGCTCCCGGCGCCGGAGACGACGTCGGCGTGGGCACCATGCTCGCCGGTGCCGTCATCTCCAAGGTACCGCGCCTGTTCCCGATCCTGCCGAGCCCGATGAAAAAGTGGGCGGACCACCTCCGCACCCGGTTGGGTTCCGTGGCGGAGCGTGTGTGGCAGGAGGGCGCGACGAGCTCGAACATGGACGCCAAGATACTCGACCTTCTCGGTACGTCCCGTCGACGTCGTCCGTCGAGATCGTTGGCCTGGACGGGCGGGAACTCATCGATCGATCTCTCCCAGACAAGCAAGGCAAAGATTCGGAGGAAGGATTGACGAAGGAGGAGGCGATCGCTCAGGTGAGCCACCGCCGACCGCGTTCGACGTCCGCGTCCGATGGCTCATCGACGCTCCCTCGTGACTCGCAGATCATCGGAATACTCTTCGCCGGATCCGAGACGGTGGCCAACGTCATTTCGGTGAGCTTCGCCTCTGTTGCTCTCTTCGCGTCAGGACTAAAGTCGCCCTCGCGTCACGCAGGAGCTGTTCCTCGAGCTGGCCCGCCAACCCCGGATCCAGGACAAGCTTCGCGATGAGCTCCTCGAGTTCGAGCGAAGGACCGGCGGTCCTCCCAAGTTGGACGACCTCACCAGCCCCACCGCGCTCCCGTACCTCGAGGCCGTCACCCGCGAGGTCCTGCGCGTCAAGGCCGTCCTCATGGTCATCAGCCGCGCGGTGAGCGTCGGTTCCGGTCCGGTCCTTACGCGTTCGAACCATCCCCTTCTGACCGACGTCCCTTCGCAGGCGGCGGGAGACGACGTGATTCCGCTGCAGTACCCGGTGCCGGGCACGGGAGCCACCGAGCTGCACGTCAAGGCCGGGCAGTCGATCATGATCCCCGTCAGGGATGGCGTCAACGTCGACCCAAAGCTCTGGGGGGACGACGCCGCCGTTTTCCGCCCGGAGCGCTGGCTGGAGCCCGATGGCCTGCCGGAGGGCGCAAGGAGCATCAGGGCGCAAGGACACACGCTGACCTTCGGCGACGGGTAAGCTTCCGATTCCACGCCCGCGTACGTCAGAACCGACTGACGACGGACGGACGCCGTTGCGCAGGCCGAAGGTTTGTCTCGGTCGCAACTTCGGTGAGTCGCCGCGGTGCTATTCGCAGAGGACGCGCGCTGATCTTTCGGTCGTTCTCAGCTCTGGCAGAACTCAAGGTCCGTCACGCCTCGATTCTGCTGCCTTCGCGCGGCGCGGTGCTGATGATTGCGTTTATAGATCATCGTCAGCGTGGTGACAGTACGGTTCCGATTCGAAGAATCCGGGGCGCAGTTCGATTTCTACCACCTCGGCGGTAACACGGTGAAGCCGACGGTGCGGGGCAGTGAAGCTGAGGGCGTGCAGCTGCCGTTGAGAGTGCACCGGCTGTGAAAGCTGTCCGTGGACCGCATCCACGCCAGGCTGTCGCGCTTCGATTTCTGATGTGGCTCGCGATTCCTGGGTGCCAATGATGAATGATCTTGTGCATTCGCCTGCGGGATCCGCTATTCTTCAATCTCCGACCTCGCTCTGTGCATTGGTTACTCTTGGGCAAATCCTCTATATTATGGTGCTGTCTGGGCAAGTCTCGACGTAGTTTTTGCCGTCGATACCTCGCCTACATCCCATCGACTACAGTATGATCCCTGCGCTCGTTCCTATCGCTGTCTCGGCGATGCTGGGAATACTGTGTCTGCGTCTGTTTGCCGTACCGGCCGATCTGAAGCACCTTCCGCGCGTGTCTGTCATGGCATTGTTGTGGAGCTACCTCACCTTCGAGGTCGATGACCGCAGATTTGAACGTCTCATCCTTCCCGTCATAGACGAGCGTAAAGAAGGGGTAGTACTTGTCTGGACCCTCGGCCGGTGGATGATACACGTTCTTGACTACGAGGTCAGCTTATCTCTCATTCGGACGAACAAAGTTGATGAACGTCCACAGACCGCGCGAGAGATGTCTGACGATGTTAAGACGTTTCCGAAGGAATTACCTCCGGATGATCTCATGCTCTGACGATTCATCGGCAACTGCAACATATCGTTCACCAACGGCGAGACCTGGAAAAAGCATTCTCGAGCAGTGCGAGGGGCGCTTCCTCAGTCAATCCCTGTTCCTGAATTCATCAGGTTGTCGAAAAAGCTCTTCATTATGATAGATGCGGTTGGGGTGGTCTCTTGGGACCGGCTTGTGCACAGCTTTTCGCTTGATGCAGTTGGTGCAACCGTCCTTGGGTATGACTCCAATGCGATCGATCACGATAGCCCCTTCATCAGCGACTATAACGGCATCTTCCACGAAATCGCTAACCCGCTTTATCTCCTCATTCCCGTGCTAGAGCGCCTCTTCCCTCGTAGATCCCTGGAACAAAAGATCGCCATCTCTGTGGAACAATTTCAAGCTCTTCTCGATCAAAAGCGAGAGGATCCTGGAAATGACGTTATGACGCTCATGCTACGGGACCCGAACATGACCAATGAAAAGTTACGGGATAATATTGTCGTGCTCTTTATTGCTGGACATGTAATTCATTCCTTTCTCCGGTCCTAACACGCAGCTTATCCTACCTTCTTAATAGGATACCTCGGCTGGAAGTCTTTCAACGTTGATATACTACTTAGGCAAGAACCCCGACATACAAGAGCGGGCGCGACAGGAAGTTCGCTCTTGTCTGAAACTACCTGATGACCCTACCCTCGAGGAGCTGCAATCCTTGCACTACCTTGGGCGCCCAAACGAACACAAAGGGACGGTGAACGTCTTGCCCGAGCCCTAGTCCACCAGGCTGAAATCTATTTGAGGAGCTCTGCCCGCGTTCTTTTCCACCTCTCATTCAGCTTCGGTAAACCCCGAGCAGAGCACCATTCCGATAGTGATAGTGATGGTACTACTCTGAAACGCAAAACGCACAGCACTGCCACGGATGTCAAGGGCGACGCTTCCAACCCCNCCCCCGCAACG